TTTTTACCGGAAGATCTGTTTATTATGCTCAGTCCATATCCGATTGACAGTGGTAGTGAGGACCAGTTTGTTGACTGAGTTTTGTAAGGTTCGACCTCTCCAACTATATGATGCTGTTGATTTATGGTTGATCAAGTGTTTTGCACTTTAAATGTGTTATAACATGTGTCTTGTTGATGAGATAGTTCAACACATGGTTCAGCACTTACAGGGTTCAGTACTTAAAGGTTCAGCCAAGGGTTGGTTCATCACTTAAAGGTTCAGCAAGAGGGCTGCCAAGGGTTATTAAAGGTTCAGCACTTGTGTTGCATATATATTCAGTCACAGGGGCATTTATGTAATTCTATCAAGAGACTCGAGGGTATCTTGGTCACTCCAGTATATTGAGACAATTTGAAACCCTGTAGTGAAGGTGCATTGCAAAAATAGCCCTTGTATTCATACTGGAAGTTATTATTTTATTACATTCAATAAGGGGCATTTGTGGAAGGCTTGTGTACAAAGTGTGCTGTGAATGTGCTTAGAATATACCACTGCCATGTGGCATAATGGTCCTGCAGAGAGAAATCTATATAGTGAATTCATTGGCTGATTCAAGAAGGTTTTATCCATAGTAGGGCTGAAATGAGGACCCTATAAATATGCTGTTATAGAATTCAGCAAAATCAGTCTTTAAGTGTGAAAAGAAAGTCTGCAGCAGCTGAGAGAGAGTTCTATTCGAGAGCTGAAAATGAACAACAATTTCTGTGATATTTCATGATGATTGAACCTCAATGTTTCACAGAAATTTGCCTAGAATAAGCTCAGTTGCAGTAAAGATAAAGGAGGTGCTGTGAGGTTGTTTTTCTAGTGTAAAGAGAGGTTGAGATGGCTCAAAACTGCAGTGGTCATTTATGAAGCTTAAACAAGGTCTGAGCACACTTAACTTAGTGATTTACAACTGCTGAAGTTTCCTTAAACCACATCTTGAAGCTGGTATTGAATTTCATATCTCAAACCTCTAGTTTTATTTGATTTGCTGGTCTAAATCCGTGGAACTGAGCTTAATATGTTTAACCATGCTATATCATAATTTTTTAACATCTGACCATGTCTAGTATGTTGATTTGAGGCTGTCCAAGTTAAGATTTGGTTTGAGGAATGGTCTGTTCTATTTTAGTACTGTGAACCACCTAAGTTTTAGCATAAAGTTGATTTCCAAGGCTGGTATGGGTATTGAAAATGCAATATATTGTTGTGCTCAGTGTATTATCTTTCTGAGTATGTTTATATAGTTAAAATACACTTGAGAGAGCCAAAATCTAGAAGTTAGCAGTGCTGAAATACTTGAATTACCTTATAATAGGGTTGCAGCAGAAAACTGGTGTATATGCTGATTTTGAGGTATAAGTTGTTAATACCTTTCTATAAATTGTGAAGTGGTAATTGGGACATAATTAATATGTTAATTGAAATTTGTGAGAATTAAAAACAAGGAGGTCCAGCCACGAAGTTACAGATTTACCCCTCAATCTAGAAATTACATAATTGAAAAATGCACCTGCTGTGAAGTATTTGTTTACTGTGTTTTGAGCTGCTGTGCAACACCATTATTGATATAAATTGTCCCAACTTTTGTACAAGTGTTATTCATCATGTTTAAGCTGTAGGAGCCCTTGGTTGCAGATAATTTGAATTATTACAAGGTAGTGTTTGGCCTATGCTGAAAATTAACATTGAAGACCTGATATTGCTACTGTGAATATAAATTGTTAATACCTTGCTTCTTAATTTGTTTCAATCATTTGAGCAAGTGTATTTAGCCTATTAAAGACTAGGGGAGTGAAGGTTGAGCCCTAATTGAAGCTACATTATGAAGAGACCATTCGACCCTTGAGATTGTGGATTAAGCCTTTTGTGAAGTGACATTATAATATCTTGCTCCAATCACTGTGAATCTTGTTGAGCAGGGTTGTATGAAGATATCAATGTTGTGGGTGACAAGTGCAGGTCAGTTTTGAAGCTGCAGAGTGAAGTTACTTCTTTGCCTTTGGTATTAGAGTTTTATCTCATTGTGCACTAAATGTGATCTACCTTGCTGAGTTTATTGAGGAAGACATTTTTGCAAGTGTAAATTGGCTATACAGAGCTGTAGAAGTCCATTGCAGGCCATTCTTGGAGCTGTATTGTGAAGTTACTTCATTACCCTTGAATTTGGGGTTTTTGCCTTGAGGGAGCTGTTTTTGTTCTAACTTGCTTATCTACTTGTGCTATCCTTACAACCAAGTGTATTTGACTAATTCAAGGCTGTGGGAACCTAGTTTGATCATTAAGTAAAGATGCATTGTGAATTGACAGTTTTATCATTCTTGTTGCAGACAAGTGAAGCTAGAGTCTTTTGTAATGTGGTACTTAAGGCTGTGTGTTTTCACTCTTATTCTATGTTCCAGCTTAAGTATATTGTACTTGGTGTGTTGACATCTTTATTCATTGTTGATTAAGCTATTGAGAGCTTTGTGTGTCCAAACATAGGGGCTGTGGATTGGGGGAGTGCCTGTATGCACATTGTTTAATCTTGTGTGTGTGTAGAGGGAGTGAAAGTCAGTGTTTTAGTGAGTACAAGGTGGTTGGAAAGTGGGGTAGCTGAGTGAGTAACTACTTGCATGCTGCAAGTGAAGATGGTGAGCTAGTGAGTGTGAATTGGTTGTGAAAGTTAGTATTTATTCTTGTACAAGGGTGTGTGTAGTGAGTGAGATAGCTGAGTGTGTAACAAGGTTCATACTACTAGTGGAGGCATTTATTGGTTGAGGCTAAGAATCAAGGTTTTTCCATATTGATAGGGTTTCCTTGTATATCTTGTGTCCATTTGATTTGCTCGATTGCACTGATTCTACCTTCCATGTTACGTATGTTTGTTCTTAAGTGAAAAAGAGAGAAAGTACCTAGGACCAATTCAACTCCCCATTCTTGGTCCAATAGATGCCCAAGTGACAAAGTCCTCCCAAGAGAGATAGCCGGGAAGCGCAAAATCTACATTTCAGTTGCAAGAAACTCCAAATAGGTTTTGTGAAGGAACACTGATGAGGGCTAAAAAGTGCGTATTTAAACCCCTTAAGCTTAGACATTCTAGTACCGTTATCTATCTTACTTTACCGTTTTAGATTGATTTCGTATTATTTCCATTTTCAGGCACTTATCCAGAAAATAAGCTAACTCAGCCAAATAAGAGCATAAATGAAGCAATTCTAGGATGAATTAAAGAAAGGAGCCAAGTGGAAGCAAAAGAAAGAAAAAGGTGGAAATCAACATCTTCGATCGATCTCAGATTAAAGTTTGATCGATCCAACATGATCGATCTCAGCACTTCAAGATGGATCAGAGCCATGATGATATTTTTAGAGATCCCAAAAGTTTGATCGATCCAACATCATTCTTCGATTGATCGAACTACCTTGTCCTTATCCAAATGATTGATCTTATCTAGTTGTACCACCTTACCAACCACTTTTGTCCTTTTCCCAAAAATATCTTCAAAATATCTCAGATTTGTCTTTATCCAAAAAGCGCCACTAATGAAGATCAATCCAGCCTAAGTTCGATAGATCTCAGCCATGTTCGATCGATCTAAGTCCAAGGTTTGATCGATCGAACTTCCTCCAATGCGAAAAAGTTAAATTTCTAGCTCATTAAAAGTTGTCCTTTATCCAATCATTGGGGAATATTTTGTGCACGACCCTAGCTCATTTTGGGTGTCATTTGACCTACCTATATAAGGATAAGGATTACTTTTTACATTGAAGGACCTCATACCATATCATATCATCTCATACCTTGTAAGAACTCTTGGAGATCAAGCTTAGAGGAGGAGGAGGCTAGAGACACCATTGGAGACTCTTCATCAACCAAGGAGCAAATCTCTACCATGGAGTTAGCCCTTGAGGGTTAGAGAAGCACTACCATGAGTGGCTAGACATCTTCTTATGGCTAGAGTTAGCCCAAGCATGCTTTCTACATCTTGATTTTGTGTATTATTGAGGGATTAGCGTTGTAATACATGTTTTGGCACTTTTATATATATAGATCTTATTTATTCAATGATTTATGTGGTTTGATGCTTTCAATTGATCATTTCATTCTATCCAGATGTCTATGTGTGCTAGAATAGATGTTCATGTGTTTGTCTCTATTTCTTATGTTATTGATGCATGCCTATCTGTATTAATGCCTTAGATCTAGAGATTGTCAAAACATTGTGCTTAAAAGAATGCTCTTGTGATTTTCTAGATGGTCCATGCTCATTTCTTGATGGATTGTGCCTCTCCCTTAGCTTAATTAGTTTAATTTCATGTCATTAGCTTAATTGTAGTGTAGTGGTAGCATAGTTGTTAGATGGGAGGACAATCCATGCTTGTTGTTTGGTGTTCCATACTTTTGAATGCAAGTAGCATATGTCTCTAACCTTGTGGTGTATTTGGCTTGTGAGCTTAATGAAAGGATTAATGACTTGCTAGATATATTGTGTTTTTCACATGCTATTTAGACAATATATACTTAATTGCTAGATATATTATGCTTTTCACATGTTGATTAGACAATGTATGCTTCATTGGTCACCCTTGCTAATTGAATCAACCAAACACACACACACACATCAATATTGCAACACACATTTCCCTTATTAGTCACTAGTTAAGGGTGTAGAAAAGTATTGCTTGGTGGTGACCTCTAAACCCCAAGATCTTTCTCTCTCTTACTTACTATTTATTGCATTCAATTATCTAGTTTAATTTGTTCTCTAGTATAATTAACTAACCAACCATTTGTTTGATCACTCGACCTACTAACCCTAATTATGATTCCACAAGCTAGTACGACTCCAATCCCTTGGGACGATCCCTACTCACCCTTGCTACGTTAGTAGTAGCAGTGGTAGTGGTTTTTATAAATTTAAACTTGACCAAAAAGGCTTTTCTTGAACCACACATTCACTACATTATTTTGGCGTATATCAAGCGACCTCGTCAAGCACGAAAAGAACAGGTGGTTATGCGATTCATCAACTGATTGGTAGAGGAGGCAGAGTTTAGATCCGGAAAGGACTGCATACATCTTCTATCCTTTGTAGGTAGCCGCTTCTGCACAGCAAGCCACAAGATGAATTTGCATCGTGGGATGGAGAAGGAGTTCCATACCAAGTGATTCCACGGCCGCGGTTGATGATGAGGTGCTAACCAAGTCACTGTATTGGTAAGCGAGAATACACCAGTTGGTGAGGGAATCCACTCTACTTTATCAGGTGAATTGCAAGGCGGATCGAGGAGTAGAAGGTCTGGGAATTGTTGAGTGACTACAATTGGGAATTCCCAATGGTTGTTTGAAGAGAATGTAGAGAGCTTTTGTTTAGCTGGTATATGTGAGTCGCGGATGAAATCGGGGGTTGCTCTGAAGGTAAGAGGCCCACCTTGAAGCCAATTGTCATCCCAAAAGAAGGTTTGTGAACCACATCCAACCTTTATTTTGATTATTGACCTAGCCACACCCCTTAGCTCCATAAGTTTATTCCAATTACTAGAAGATGCTTGAGGAATATTCATGGTCCAAAAACACCTGTTCCGAATGAGCTGAACCCTTACCTAACTGATCCAGATGTTATGCCTATGAGAGGATACAACATTCCAAATATGTTTTAGGCATGCTGCCATGTTGGCAATTTCCAAGCTCTTAAAACCTAGCCCACCACAGCTCTTGGGCATGCAAACAGCAGGCCAGGTAATTTTAGCACCAGAAAATTTAAGCTCTATCCCTGACCATAGGAAGTTCCTTAGTAGCCCATTAATCTCTTCTAGAACTGACCTAGGCAAAATGAAGAGGCTTATCCAATAGTTAACCATGCTATAAAGCACTTATTGTATCAGTTGAATTCTCCTCGCATAAGATAGGAAAGTAGATAACCAGTGGCAAATTTGTCTAGTGACTTTCTCAACGAGCCCTCTGCAATTAGTTGCCTTTAATGTTATAGAGACAAGGGGAACTCCAAGGTACTTAAATGGTAGTTCACCATGATCAAATCCAAGAATGCACTTGATATCATTAATAAGACCATTTGTTGCACCAGAGACAAAAAAAAAACTCTTGTGGTTATTAATGGAAAGTCTCGAGATAGTAGTGAAATGATCAATGGCATTCTTGAGAGTGGTGATAAAAGCCAAGTCCCCGTAGGAGAAGAGCAGTAGGTTGTTTGCGAAAATAAGATGGGATATAGCCAGCGATCTGCATCTAGAGTGGAATTTGAAGCAAGGGTTGTTAGTGATGTGCCTCTTTATGATGGATGTGAATACTTCCAAAACAATGACAAATAAGAGGGGGGAGATTGGATTCCCCTGCCTTAGCCCGTTAGCCCCACGAAAGTGTCCTTGGAACTCCCCATTTACAGAAATGGTGAAGGATGGTGTAGTGATACAAGCTCTCACCCATTCCATAAAAGTTACTGGGAACCAAAGAGTGCTAGTGAGTCAAGGATGAAATCCTACCCAACTGAGTCGAAGGCCTTCTTTAGGTCCACTTTGATAGTACACCTCGGGGGACCAAGGTGTCTGTGATAGCCTTGAAAAAGCTCTTGAGCTAAAAGAATACTGTCCCCAGTGTGTCGTCCCTTGATAAATGCATTCTGGTATGGATTAATTATTGAAGGTAGGACTTATTTAAGCTTATTTGCAAGAAGCTTAGCTATGCATTTGTAAATTGTGTTACAACATGAAATAGGACGAAAATCATTGAGAGATGAAGGATTAGGTACTTTTTATTGCATAATTGATCATCACAGATAAGTGGGATGTCCTTATGTATGTCCTATCATAGGCAACATCATCCAAATGGGAGACAATGTCCATGTCACACTCGCCAAGCTAGCCCAGCTCCATGGCCCATTCATCTCACTACGTTTTGATGCACAGCTCATCGTGGTCGGGAGTTGCCCAAGGGATTCTAAAAATCAACGACCACTTCCTTTTAGGTTTTGCCTAGTCCAACAGTGAAGAGTGACCAACTTTTGTTATATTCAAAATATGGGGATTAGAAATCTTAATGGATTTAAGAGATCGTCTACACGCACAAAAAATTATTAAAAAAAAAAAAAAAAAACACATTATCTTTCAAAAGAAATACCTTCACTTTTGGCCTCACTGTTTTCTCTCATTTTCTTGCTTTTTTGTCTTTTTTTCTTTCTTTCAACTTCCCTCCACTCATTTCTTATCAGTTCTTAACACTCCACACACACACACACACACATATATATATCTATCGAATTCTGGGGACTTTGTATTGCCGATTTGTAGCTGGCACAAGATTGTCCCTAATTTTCATTTGCTTAGGACCCGTTTGGCAACCACAGTTGCTTTGTGCTTTTGCTTTGACCTCAAAGCAGAATTAATGTTTTTGCTTTAGAATGTGTTGAATACTATTTTGAAACTTGTTTGGTAACGTCTATTTGTTGTAAGATTTTAGAAAGCAAAAACATGAAAACATGTTTGGTAACGTACTGAAATTCGAAAGCAAAAATATGAAAACATGTTTGGTAGCGTTCATGCTTTGAAAGACAAAACATGAAAACATGTTTGGTAATGTCCATGCTTCAAAAGCAAAAACATTAAAACATGTTTGGTAATATCCATACTTCGGAAGCAAAAACATTAAAACATGTTTGGTAACCTCATTATTTTGAAAATATTGAAAACAAAAATGTAAAACTTGTTTGGCAATGACTGTTTGTATTATTCTATTTTATTATTTAAATTTATTTATAATAATATTAAATTATATAAATAATATTTAAAAAATTGTAAAAATATATGCAAACAACCAACCAAAATTGCAAAACACAAGTGTGTAATATTTAGTATAAATTCAAGTTACAAAGGTATTTATAAAATGAAGTTCAAACTTAAAATTTAGGCAAGTTTGTAATTCTATAAATTATATTCCTATTTTAAAGTTTATAATATTTGTATCATTGGTATTATTTTTTTAAAAAAAATAAAGTTTGCTGGGGTAAATAATTGAAGAATTGAATTTTTTTTAAAAGTTTATTAAAACAAATTTAAAATCAACCTTATAGACATTATAGTGACATCACAAAAAACTGTGGTTGGCTTATAGACACCTCTGAGTCATTATATATTGGCAATTTGTGTTAGGATGAAGTTCATGGATTTGCAATATTTTTATATCTGTCATTTTAACAGTCCACCAAGGGCACTTCCCTTTCTCACTTGAAATATAGTCCATCAGCTTTAAAATTCCATACTCACATGCATTACAATGCCACCAAAAAAATTCCTTCTCATTTGAAAACTAGTGAAATTTGACATGGCCACAATAACAAATACCCGATAAAATACAAACCATTCATTCAATTAGATAATCCTTCCACCGGAAACTTTTGGAACAAAATTTTCAAATAGAATTTTGATTTAAACCATGATGTCCCAATATGTACCTTACATATATAATTAACATACCTGCAACTATTTACCAAAAAAAAAACGGACGTGCTACTAAATTGTAGTGCAAAACCTATAAATATTCAGATACATAGCAATGCAAATTATCAAGTTTGCACTTGGATCCCAACAAAATGAACACTCAAGCTCAAGCAGCAACATTATCGATGCATATCATATGATCAAACTTTCATATTACATACAATAATTATACCCAGTATTCCATTGTATAACTTTAGAGGTTCCTATGCTAATATACAACAAATATTGTTGGATTACTAATCATGGAAATACAACACGTCATTCACCATGCTAGCAGTTGAATATCCATTTCCATACAGCGTTTCTCTAGCTGTTGGATAGCAGTTGAATCCATTACCAACAACAGTCTGCCAAAGCAAAAGAATAAGCATCTTATATAAGTAAAATGTAGATATGCCTTTTTTTCCCCCCCCTGTTTTTCAAGTGTCAACACCATCCATAATCATATTAATCTAAGTGCAATGTGTTGTGAGCTTTGACCTGCCATCGATATTTGCATCCCAATGCAGAGTTCTTGTCTGTGCATATCAGAATATGTAGGAATGTGCTTTTTTTGAAAGACAGGATATGCATATTCATTGATGAGGAAACTTCTCATATGCTGGCTGGTTTACTAGTGGATTATAATGGTGAATTCTGCATTACTGCAGTCCTGGATTAAAAGAGTTTGACTTTAAAATTCTGGGTAATGTAGTTGCTGTATACGGCAATGTGAGAATTTCATATACGGGGTCAATACACTTCCAAGCCATGAAAGAGAATACTTTTGGCTTATGGTCTTTGGATTCAAATAACAAGAGTGATTAGAAGACCTCAATAAACTGAACTAGAAAAGAAAGATGACATTGAACTATTAAAATAATAAAATTTAAGAATTTTATGAATATGATCAACCAACAGAAAGTACTAACTGATGTACAAGGATCGACCAATAATTGAATATCCATTAGACCTTAAGCTTAATGGGGCAATATTGAATATAGTTATGATGACAATATTGCAGAAGTCACCCGTCAGCAAAAAAATGTCGGAGAAGTCAATGAAGAGCAATACTTTTGTCTGACTGAAGCTGAGGGGAAAACTAATATGAAATTGGAAGATGATCAAATCACTGCACAGGATAGAAGTAGGTGTAGATACATTATCTTAAGAAAATTAAATTAAAATTTTCTTTCTTTAGTCAAAACAACAGAAACAATCTTGCTCATAAAAAATAAAAATAAAAAGGTAAAATACAAAAAAAAAAAAAAAAGAAAAGAAAAGAAAAGAAAAGAAGATCAAAGAAAGTGGCTTTACTTTTAGTATGGAGGCTCTCTTTTTGTATTAGAATTGATTATGTATCAATGGAATCTCATCATCCATACATAACAAATTAAAAATCTATTCGTATATATAGTTAGATTCATGATCAACCTTGCACTTCTTCCCTTTCCTTGTCCCTGAGAGCCTTATTGTAATGGGCAGTATCAAGTCCTTCCAAGTTACTCATAACCCTAATGTAACCTTGCACCTCTTCCATTTCCTTGTCCCTTAGGGTGGGAGAGTTACAATCACCTGTTTCATGGGATGCTACACGATTGGAAGAGGTAGCAGCTATGGCTTTCTCTATTGCCTCAGCTTTCCTCTTTGAATTCTCAATCATGGTTGCCATGACTGCAGACATTGTGGATGCAAAACTATCTTTCCTAGCTTTCCTAGGTCGGGGTTCAAGTGATGGAGTCCTCTCTTTACCTTGGAGATCATTTCCTTCCTTATTGATAGTATCATCATCAAGAGAATTAATTTGAGCCATATTTGTGGGTACATGCGATGTTGGGTGAGATCTAGTAGGACGGACTTGAGATCCTGTTGCATGTGTGTCTACAAAGATGGCAGACAACTTGTCAAAGTGCTTACAACCCTTCTTGCGATTTTTTTTTTCCCATATTTAACAACCTACATGTTATAATAAACTTATTATAAAAACATGTCTATCCCAAAAACAGTAAAAATAAATACTACAACAGATTGCATTATTTATCACTAACCTTTGACAACCTTACCCATCTCTCTTCTTCCATTACAATTATTCCACTCTCAGCATTATAGCCCACACCCGTCTCAAACAACAACTTTTTAAAATCCTTGTGTATTGCCCTCAATTGGTTGAATTTATTTCTGAGTTGTTTAATGGTGTATGTTTTGCCTGTTTCAACTATCATTCCTTCGATTAGCTTTTTCCACCCAACATTGTTAAAAGTTGCATTTGTACGATTTCCTTGCCTAACCTCTTCCCCCATCAGTAAAATAAATTTCTCTTCCACATAGTCATCCCAAATATTTTTCCCATCATCCATCGTGTCCATATCTACTTGCACCTCATCACCCAAGCTCATTTCATTGGCATATTCATATAGATTATTGGGATTAAGATCCATCTAACAAACATAATGGTTATAAAAGTATAATCAGAACTATTACTGAGAACCAATTATAAAAGTTTTTAAACAACTAGATCAATTGGGTTTCAATTAAGTTTGCATATAGTTTGAAAAAAAAAAAAAAAAAATGAGATCCAGTAACCAATGACAATATATTTTTAACTGAAAGAAAGTTATAAGCTAAAAGTCACTTTGCATATACGTAGCATGATACACGGTTTTACAATTTAATCAATTAGTTTCAATTCAGTTTTCATATAGTTATACACAATAAATCAAGTTCAGTACAAATAAAAGTATAAGAATATATATTATAACACTTATTTAGAACCAATCAAAAAATATTTTTAAATAAAAAACAGTTACAAGTTGGAAGTCAGTTTGCATATAGGTAGCATGATAAACAGTTTTAACAAATAGTTCAATTTGGTTTCAATTCCAGTTTGCATTTTGTTGTACACAAAAATTGAGTTTCAGTAACCAATGACAAAAGATTTTTACATCAAAAAAATTTACAAGTTGAATCGAACTAACCAATCTGTAATTTCAACACAAACAAGATCATTAGATACAACATATAAAAAATGAATCGAAGTAACCAATCTGTATATTCAGAAAAATGGAAGACAAAAAAAAAAAAAACCCAAATTTATTCACAGTATAAAACAAAAATTTATCCAACACAAATCTGTAAATTCAAAAGTAGGGTTGAAATTCTTACTTTTAGGACGAATTAAAGGTCAGTATCAACGTCATGCCACTGCAACACTCATATTCTATAAACGAACAACCCAACACAAACACAAAAAATTTAATTGAAGTGACAATAATGTTAAAACAGTTAAAATTTTATCATTTCAGAAGTAGGGTATCCAAATCGAAGACACAAAATAGACCCAAAGTTATACACAACATAAAAGAATCAAAGTACCAGAATTTTTTTTTTTCAGAAGAAGGGTTTCCAAATCCAAGACAAAAATAAACCCAAAATTATACACAACATAATAAAATATGAAACGAAGTAAAGAAAACTTGAAATACCGAAGTTTGATTTTCAGATCTAAGCACAAATTCAACCCAAAATAAGACAGAAGATAATAAAATCTGAATCAAAGTGACAAGACTTGAATTTCCGAAATACGGTTTTCAAATCTAAGCTCAAATTCAACCAAAAATAAAACACAAGATAGTAAAATTTGAATCGAAGTGATAAAACTTCAATTTTCGAAGTATGGTTAACAGATCTAAGCACAAAGTCGACCCAAAATGTTACACAACATGACAAAAAACTCATTTAAGTAACAAAACTGAAACCCTTACCACTAGGGTTTCAGATCCAAGCAAAAAAATCAAGATGAAAAAGGAAAAAATTACCATCAAGACGAAGAAGAAGACGAACAAGAACAGAATGGAGTTAGTTTACCGATCGGAGCCTGCAAGAACATCGTTTGTAGCAACGGGATGGTTGAAGCTCGGTGCACAGTAGAATCGCCTCCTAATTGCCCTAGGGTTTTCTCTCGTTTGCTTTCACATTTGTGGCTGGATATTGGAAATATTGCTTCAAGTATTTTGGACCCAATGATTCCACTAATGGGCTACAGTGCAGGAAGCATTTTACCACTATAAGCAACAAGAAGCATCATTTTGATGCTTCTAAAAATAACTGACCAAAAGCAAAAAATATAGGATAAAAATAACTACCAAACAAGCCCTTAATTTTTTGGACTGTACCGTAACTTCTCTTCACTCACATAATGCGAGCATAACACACTCTCATTTTTGTATTTTCCTACATTGTGTGCACCGACACAATTAACTCATTTATACGTGTGTGTGTAATGCACGAAATAAAATTTCCGTACTGGATAGGTCTGGTATACCAAACCAATAATGAAAGGTGAATTATTCATCACAACAGACTAGTGGGATGTCGTGTCTCACGGACCGGACCTATGTTCTTCCTTATTATTATAGCCACAAGTTGCTGCTGCAATTATAGTGTTTTCCATACCACCATCAATCTGACAACACTGTGCGCATTATCTAATGATGCGTCGTACTATTTCGAGCTTTATTGCTGCATTGTCAAAAGGTGTCTTATAGAATTTCGTGCTCTATCATTGCACTGTCAAAGTTTGGGTGAAGTGAATCGATCGTTCGAATTTTGGAGATTGAATTACAATAGTTGCATTATCAAAAATTGATTAGGGGCCCATTATCTTCCTTATATTGTTAGCTATTCATTTATTTTAAAATTTTAAACAGTTAGAGATGATATAATTTATTATATAAAATTTTCAACATGTCTCTTTATGTGTACGTGATCTTTCATGTGTGGCTTTTTTTTTTTTTTTTATCCAACATGTATTTTATAATTTTTTAATTAAGGTAACAATAAAGTTTGAATTCGAGACATGTACTCTTATTCAATGTTAACTAACTATTTACTCTAAAAAGTGTTTGAGAGAACGTAAGTTAGAATATATAAATCTTTCAACATATACATCATAGCTCGATGATGATAATGTTGTTAGGGCACAGCGGAAGCAAAAGAAAGAAAGAAAACAAAAATTCAAATCACAACATAAGATATATACGTGGTTCACCCAAAATCAGGATTACATCCACGGATGAGAAGAGATTTATTATACATGTAGAGATATTACAATAGTAGAGAATTTCAATACTGGACCATGCACACAAACTCTTGACCGAGTTTTCCGTGTACGCCACGAGACTCCCTCTCACCATCAGTGTTCACTCTACCAAACCTGTAACCCACCTCTATCATTAACATACTCCCTCATAAGGTTACATCTCTCTCAACTCACAACTCTCAACAATAGCCTAAGTGTCTATTTATAGAGTTACATACCTAATTCCTTTGTGGACAATGATTACAATTTCTTAGAGTCCAATTCACGTCTCTATAAGAAATTACCATAAAATTACACTCTAAAATAGAAATTAATAATAATGAAAATTTGAGACATAATTCCTAACAAATGTTTCCATCACTGCATATTATTTGGTTAATTTTATTATTTCGTGCTTTAATTTATCATTGCATTACATAATGGAGTTTTAATTATGTGAATATTAAACAATATACAGGGACCCATTCTCTTCCTTATATATCATAGGCGCCCCATGGTGGTGGTGCAATATATGCAGTTGTTGCAGTGTTCTCAAACCCACCATGAGTATTCTAACAACACTAGCAACAAGGGATGATCAGATCAATCTCTTCTTCCCTCTCATCCTACTTTCCTTTCTAATCTTTATCATTTTCAAGAAGCACATTTCACCCAAAAACACCACCACTTCCACCATGTCCTTTTGCATGGCCTATCATAGGCAACACCGTTCAAATGGGAGAAAATGGCCATGTAATACTCGCCAAGCTAGCCCAAGTCCATGGCCCACTCATGTCACTACGTTTTCGGTGCACAGCACATCGTGGTCGGGTCCTCCCCGAAAGCCGCCCAAGGGATTCTGAAAATCAACGATCGCCTCCTTTCCGGTCGTTATGTTTCTAATCCACTCCGTGTGAAAGGCTCGAAAATTCACAACTTAAATCTTAATTATCCTAAACTTCAAAAATTCATATCTCACAAACTGTACATTTAAAAATTGTAAATAATATATGCACGGAAAACGTATTAAATAAGGATTCTAGAAATATAAGATTTGTACATCAAACCTTCATAACCAGTGAGAAATAAGCAATCAAAAAATCTACTCTAATAATAAAATACTCGAAATATTTGCAAGAAAATTTTCAGAGTTATTCATTTACATATGGAGCCGAATATATAAAAAATTTAGCCCCAACAGAGATTGATTTCATGAGATATCATATTTTGCGTCAAAGTATTTTCATTCTTTTATAGACTCACCATTTAAAAAAAATTTAAAAATGAATATTCGGTCTCTATTGGGGCTAATTTTTTTATATGTTATGCTTTATATGAAAATGAATAATTCTGAAAATTTCCTTACAAATAACCCTAGTATTTTATAAAAAATGAAATAAAATAAGATTGTTATAGTAGATTTTTAGATTGTCTATTTCTCTCTGTTATGAAGTTTTATTAAACAAATCTTACATTTCTGGAATTCTTATTTATAAGCTTCACGTGCATATATTATTTGCAATATTTGGATGTACGGTTTGTGATATGAATTTTTGAAGTTCTTGAAAATTTAAATTTAAATAAAAGGGTATTTTGGTCCAAATATTAATTTTTTTACCCCCCTTAAATAGTTGAGGGAGATTTTTTGGTAAAAAATTAGACAAAGAAAATTTATTGAAAAGAGTTAAAAGTCGAGGAAGTTCTTTCATAAAAAAATTAAACAAGAAAATTTATTAGAAAAGGGGGTTTTCATACTTTGTCCACATAAATTTACCGTACTGAAAAGGTCTGGTATACAAAAACCAATAATGAAAGGTGCTATTGCATAATTTGATCACAACAGACATGACTATGCGCATTATCAAATGATAGCGTCATCCTATTTGGAGCTTTGCTGCAATGTAAAATACTGTTTTATAGAATTTCGTGCTCAATCATTGCATTGTCAAATGTTTGGGTATAGTGAATCAATGATTTTAATTTTGGAGATTCTGCTTTCACACATAATAATAGTGTTTTATCCTTTGTTGGAACTTTATCATTGCATTATCAAAAAGTTTTTAAATTATGTGATCAATGATTAGGGACCATTATCTTCCTTCTATATCAGAGCCCCATGGTGGTGCAATGCAGTTTATACAATTTCTTGGAAAATGTTGCCCCATTCTCAAGATATTGGTATTTTATATTACAACTTCTAGAAGTGGAAACTATTTTATACAATTTTTTAACTTTCAACAAAACAAAGAAAAAGAAAAAGAAAACTGGGCCTTCCACCTCCACCATTTTTTTCAATTGTTTAAACTTGTAAATGAAAATGTTCTTCCACCTACACAATAGAATACTACTATAAGACCAAATTTTTTTTTTTCAATTGCTTTGAACTTCCGAAAGGTGTTTCCATCATTGCAAATTATTTGGTATATTATATTATTTCGTGCTTTAATTTATCATTGCACTACATAATGAAGTTTTAATTATGTGAATATTAAACAAAATACAGGGACCCATTGTCTTCCTTATATATCATAGGCGCCCCATGGTGGTTGTGCAATATATGCAGTTGTTGCAGTGTTCTCAAACCCACCATGAGTATTCTAACAACACTAGCAACAAGAGATGATCAGATCAATCTCTTCTTCCCTCTCATCCTACTTTCCTTCCTAATCTTTATCATCTTCAAGAAGCACATTTCACCCAAAGCACCACCACTTCCACCAGGTCCTTATGCATGGCCTATCATAGGCAACATCATCCAAATGGGAGACAATGCCCATGTCACACTCGCCAAGCTAGCCCAGCTCCACGGCCCACTCATGTCACTACGTTTCGGTGCACAGCACATCGTGGTCGGGTCCTCCCCTGAAGCCGCCAAAGGGATTCTGAAAATCAACGACCGCCTCCTTTCCGGTCGCTATGTTTCTAATCCACTCCGTGTGAAAGGCTCGAAAATTCACAACTTAAATCTCGGTTTCTACGACGAGTGTGACGGCGGTTGGAAGAGCCTGCGAGCCATTTATCGGACGGAGGTCTTTTCGGCCAAAGTAATGGAATCCCAAGAGGAATTGAGAGAGAAGAAAGTGACGGAGATGGTGGAATATTTGGGTTCAAAGGAAGGGCAAGTGGTGAAGGTTAAAGAGATGGTGTTTGCTTGTGCTTTGAATATCTTGAGTAATGCATTTCTTTCCATGGATTTTATGGACTTTGAGGGTAAGGGTGTGGGTGAAGGGATGTATCAAAATATAAGGAGCTATTCTCAGATGGGTGCTGTTCCACAGTTATCAGATTTCTTTCCCATATTGGGTGGTTGGGACTTTCAAAGCTTTTACAAGAAATTGATGACTATTTATGACAGAATATGTGGTGTTTGGGTTGATACTGTCAAAGAAAGAAGGCAACGAAGAGATGGTTCTTCAACTCGACGAGATTTCACTGATGCTTTAATTGGAATCGGGTTTAGCGACGAACAGATCAATCCGTTACTTGTGGTTTGGTTCCTTCCCCCACTCTTTCACTCTCTCTTTACACGCACACTCTGACACTCGTGTATATTTTGTTGACTAGTAGCTGTCCACAATTCAGTGATTTGGGCCTAATTTGGTTACCCAATCTGCTTCATCGTGGCTCGCCAAATGTGAGCCCAAAATTTCAATTGCCATATGGGTCACTCTTTCTAGCGACCCATTTGGCTATACTCGGAAATGATTTTGCCTGAAATGATTTTTTATTTTAATAAAAAATTAGTCCAATCACTGTAGCTGTCCCAGAATTGAATTATAAGGGTCGTGTTTGGGTGAAACAATTGTCAAAAATCACCTTTTTTTTTTTTATATATATATTTTTATGTGCCTTAAATGATTTATGTTGTTTATCATATAGGAATTATTCGGTGCTGGTACAGAATCTACAAGCGCAACAACAGAGTGGGCACTTACAGAACTTATTCGAAATCAAGAGGCCATGGAAAAAGTTCGAAACGAACTTGCAGAAGTAATTGGCTCGGGTACAGTAACAGAGTCCAATTTGTGTCACTTACCCTACTTAGAAGCTTGTGTGAAGGAGACACTGAGATTGCACCCTCCTGGACCATTGCTACTACCACACCGCGCCACGCAAACGTGCGAGGTGATGGGTTACACCATTCCCAAGGATAGTCAAGTGCTGGTAAACGTGTGGGCAATTGCACGAGACCCTGCGATTTGGGACGATCCATTGAGCTTCAAGCCGGAGCGATTTCTCAAGTCCGGATTGGATTACATGGGAATCAATTTCGAATACTTACCATTTGGTTCAGGAAGGAGAATGTGTCCTGGACAACCTCTAGTTTCTAGGGTAGTTCCTCTCATTCTTGCTTCATTGGTCCATCATTTTGATTGGATTCTTCCGGGCAACGTGAAACCGTCTGAGATTGACATGAATGACAACTTGGATGTGACTATGCTAAAGAAAGAACCAATGCGTGTTATTCCAAGGATACGAAAGCAGTTGAAGACTGATCAACACTTCTGAGTTGTTGAAGTTATGTCATTGTTTTTTTTTTTTTCTTTCTTTTCTCGGTAAGTCGTTGGTCACTGGTTTCATAATATTGTAATAACTGTATGTCACCATTGTGCTTGTGAATGCGTTAGTCCTGCCATAAATGATGTTATTGTAATTGTGTGCTACTCTGTGCTGTAATTAATGGTTTTCAATCCTCGTAAGAGAATAAATCATGTTTTTTTTTTTTTTTTTTTTTTTTTTTTTTGGTTGGGCTAAAATTGCCAATATTAAAATAAAAAAAAAATAAAAAATTTGCCTACATCCCCCTCACCCCTAAGGTTTGGCATTATGACAACCATATACAAGTTGTCCTATTTTTGGACAATGACACCCTAGCCTAAAAATGTGTGAAAAATCTACTCTACCCTTCATTATTTGATTAATTTTAATTATAAAATATCAAAACAATTAAATGACCGAATTACCATTCTCCTATCCCCCCAACCCCCCCCCCCTCCCTCTCTTTTTATATATATATATATATATAATGTATCTACTTCCAAACACACCCATCAAACCATACAAAAAATATATATATATGTGTGTGTGTGTGTGTGTGTGTGTTTATTTACAGTGCTTATATATCAATACAAACAATCATTAAAGGACATGATGACTGAGACATTCCAGTAATGGCGAAGGCATGGTTGTTGTGACGAGGATGATGGCTAGAGAGAATTCCAAAGACGATGCAGTAACAGGAGCAACAATGAGGATCTGTTCGCAGCATGACTGAAACGACGAGCAATGATTCATAACTCCGGCAAGGCAGCGTCACGATTCCAGTAGTGGTTTGGTTTTCAGTTCTTCGGATTAGGAATTGGTTCTCCTTTGCTATTATTATTATTATTTTTTTTCAATTGGGGTTTGGCTTTGTAATGGGTGGAGGTTTTGGGTGGTTGTGGTGGTGTTTGTAGTAGGCGGTGATAGGGGTTTTAGGTGGACAGGGTTTTGCACCAATGGGCTGTGTAGTTCGAGATGGTGGTCGGCGGTGGCAAAACAGTGGTGGCTTGTTTGGGTTAGTGGTTGTGACTCCAACACAGGTTATGGTGGTGTTCATTTGCGGAAAATATTTTTGCTCCTGGTAGTGGTGCGGCGAGGATGGTGGTGGCGCTACCAATTTTGCTGGTGGTGGGTTTTGTTGTAGAGATATGGTGGTGTTGCCTAAGAATGAACTCTAGAGGGGGGTGAATAGAGTCCTTGTCTAATAATGGCAGATTTAAAATTAAGTAAATGTGCAAGATGCAATTTCTATTTGACAACTAGGAGCTAAACAAAATAAACATATAAATGTAGAAGCTAACAGTGGCTGATTTTAAGTTTATAGAACTCCAATTTTCAGCAAGTATCTTATAACAATTGTGCAACAATAGATATATGAATTCAACAATATAATGGCACAATTATAAGAGAGATAAGGGAAGAGAATTTGCAAACATAGACACGGCGATTTTAGCGAGGTTCGAAAACTCCTAATCCTCGGCTTAAGACCCCTCTTGAGACTTCCCAATCCATTATGCCTCCTCTTTACAGGTGGAGAGCAAACCTTGATTAGAAGCAATTCCTAGCTTCTCCTTGCTAAGAGACAACCTCTCTTAGTCTTACTTAGGGACAAACCAGCCCTTACAATAACTTAGCTAAAAGAACTCCTTCTCTTAGGCTTACAATGGAATATAGAAGTGTTTTACAAATATCTCACTCTCTTAGCTTGAAATTACAGTGAACACTCTCTAGAGAGTCAAATGATACAAGTGAAGCTCACTCTCTAAATGATGTGAATGTGAGAGAGAAGTAATAGCAGAAGTGTAGCTTAGTGTATGAATAAAAGATAGCTAAACTTTTGCTCTGTAAAATGATCTGAATGTCGCTCTGTGTTTCAAGGCTCTAGCTCATAGTTTGCAGATAACATATCTCAGCATATATAGACTTTCTTGTTGCTAATAGCCGTTGTGAAAACTTCTCCATGATTGGGACATATCAAGACTTCTTTAAACAAAATATCGGTGCATTTGGCAGATTTCAAAGTTGGAAAAATGTGCACTGCATATGTCCCTTTTAAAGACAAACTAGCTGTTGACTTCAAAATGATTTAATTTAATACACCTAGAGAACAACCAATAAATCAGTATGCGCATGGGTGAGACACTGCAGAAGCATTGACTGAAGGAAAAATAAATCTGTAGCAGATATTAGTATGTGCATAGGTGAGAAACTTGCATAAGTATTGTCAGAAGAAAAAATAAATCTGTAGCAGCTTTAGTTGACTACCACAAATTAAAATGATAATTGTTTGTGGTCTGGACACATATAGAAATTCATGGACTAAAATGTAGAAATATATAGTAGTAGCTTTTGTTGACAACAAAGGGAGTTGACTTAGTTGCTGCTCCAGAAATAGCATTTTTTCAGAAAATCAAAACTGTTTCAGAAAATCAAAACTGTTTGTGGTCTGCAACAGGCTTCTGCATAGGACTTATAAATGTCTTTACAATTTTTATATGTCCGTTTACTTTAGGTTTTCAATGTAAATAAGGAAGTACCACCCATTTAGATTCAATAAAAATATAAGAAAATTGAAATCCAACTAAACCAAAATGTAAAAATTCAGTTTTAGTACAAATTTGGATTTATGATAGTTTTGGTAAAAATGAATCCTTATGTAGAACAATGTAGACTTGGTCATAAATTCTGATAAAATCAGTTTAGGTTATTTGAAGTATAAGGAGTTATTACCGGGAAAAATTATTTTGAAATAACCATTATTTCAAATCACAATTAGCCAAAAACACAGTTTTTCATGACGCACATTTTGGGGTCCTAATGTCCGTTACCAACTCATAGTAATGAAGGCTTCATATGCCTTAATCTTTGACCAATATGAATCATGTGATTGATGTGCACGGTCTTAACATTTCTAGCACAAGGGATGAGTTCTTTCAAAGCTTATGCAAGCTTGAACCAACTTATTCTTTAGCAAAGATTTCATGTCTCAATTATATATGAATGAAGTGTATAGTCTATTACTAATGGATATAGGAACATATGAATGATGAATGATATGCATGGTCCTATAGAGATAAGCTTCAAATGGATTCATAAAGACTTTGACATTGAATCCTAAACACTCACCATCCTATCTACCCCTTTCTTCATGCTTTGTCCATGTTCGTGTAGGCTTTGAGGTAGTATTGTTTTCTTCCTTTCTTTGAGTAGCTTTCTTGCTCGTTGTAGTCCAAGCTGTCTTTCCTTGTAACTGCAATCTTTGTAACCTTACTTTCTATGATGTGATCTTGAGTAGGAATACTTGGAATGATCTTTATGATCTTCATTGATGTTCTTCTTTGAATATAAATCATCTATAACACTCAATGTGAACATCAGTCCTTAAACACTATTAATGGTTTGTTATCATCAAAACACATAGTTTGTTCTTAGATGAACTCTTATGGTCAACAATCTCCCCTTTTTTGATGATGACAAAACATTGATGTGTTCATAAGCAAGTGGAATAACATTTGAGAAATGCTCCCCTTATCAAAGTGCATTTAATGTACATAATGTCATAAAACAGCATGCTTGATATATCATAGATTATTTTAGACATAAACATGCATTTAAGATCATACATAGTGAATCACATCACACATATTTCTCCCGCTTTGTCATCTCAAAAAGGTGGGAGGCCTAAATAACTTCATTAAGCATTTATCATTTAGCATAGTGAAACAATGATTATCATAACATGGCAATATAGTGGTAATGACTATAATATGCTTTAGAGTGCAATATATAAGCAATTATATCGTAAGATACCAATTTTATTTAGATTGAGGAACTGCTTAATTCGATCACTTCAGACTCAAATGATAGCCCAATCTCTTTTCTAAGGGTGCAAAATCTATGGTGTAATCGTTGTCGCGGTGTAACAAAATTGCAATGAAAGTGTGGCCAAGTTTGAATTTATAAAATGCCACTACTAACTTTAACTAAAAATATAGCTAGGGTGAGTAGAGATCATCCCAAGGGATTAGTTGCGTATTTGAAATGGAAACAAGGTTGGATTAGTAGGTCGAGTGATCAAAATGTGGTTTGTTTGGTTAATTAAACTACAATGCAATTAAAATTAAAGCAAACAAAGAAAATAATTTAGAAAGCAGAGAAAAAGATATAGAGGAGAGGACTTGGGGTTTTAGAGCTCACCACTAAGCTTGACTTCACTAGACACTAGTAATTGTACATTAATGGGGAAATTGAATTGCAACTTATGTGTGTGTGTGTGTGTAACATTAATTGAAACTAAGCATGAATGACAAATAAGTATAGATTGTCTAGCCAATTCAAATGAAAAGCACAACCTATCAAATGAAACCAAAATCCATTCAATGAAACCACAATTTATGCACACACAACTATCTATAGACATACACTGTGACGGCCGTGGTTTTTCAAGCCAATGCATCCTGTGATAAACCAAAGATTGACCCGATAACGGATCGGAATGCGAAAGCGAAAACAGAAAACAAAACTCTAAGAAGTCAAAGTGACCTTTCATGAGGTCGTGGAACTCAATGAGAATTGATGTGGAAACAAAAGATCGAAAATATGACAAATAAGCCCCCAGGGATAAAATGGTAATTTTCTAAAAATATGAACTTGGGTGCCACCGAGCACACTACTGGGAAGACAACGAAAAATTAATCAAGATGGACTCAAGAATCGCATGATTCGGAGTTTGGACGAAGGAGAAACGGCATAATGAAGAAAATCGAGCATTTAAGGAAAAAAGGGTAAATTGGTAATTAACCAGGAAGATCTAGGTACAACTAAGCACACCGTTGGAAAGACAGCGAAAAATTAGTCAAGGTCAAAAAAAAGTTCACTCGATTTGGAGTCCTAACGAGGGAGAAACGAGGGTTTGAAGTTGAGACGTCGCGGCGGCCCGACGAAGGCTATGGCGCGCCCGGCGCCCATGCGCGAGCCCACCAGTGCTCCATGCGGCGCTC